TATATAATTAATTAATTTAATTAATTAATTATATTTTTGCTATTCAAATAAACATGGTTAATGGGGCGACTGTGGCTGAGTGGTTAGAGCAGTCGTCCTTCAACGCCAGAGTTGGGGGTTCGACTCCCCTAAGTCACATGCCTAAGTGTCCCTGGGCAAGACACTGAACCCCTCATTGCCTCCGATGTGCGTCCCATCAGTGTATGAATGTGATAAAGCTCTGATTAGTCTCCTTTGAATGATTTGTTCAATTAGCTTTGTAGAGATCTAATAAAGTGCCGTATGAATGTGTAAATGAGGCACAGATTGTAATGTAAAGTGGTTTGAGTGTCTGATAAGATAGAAAGGTGCTATATAAGTACAGTCCCATTTAATATAAAAGTGAGTCAGGATTGTGTACAATAGGCATGTTACCAGCCTAAATATAAAGAATATCTGTTTCAATAGGCTCAGAGTGTACAAAATATGTTTTTATGACAAAAGTAAACAGATGAAATGAAGACTATGAATTCCACTGTAAGACTAGTTAAGGCTTTTATAGACAACTAATTTGAAATATTTTAAGATTTATGATTTTGCAAATAAGACATTTATTTTCAGCAGAGAAAATATATACTGACCTGTCAGTGTCTTCTTAAGCTCATCTCTGAACTTTTTCACTGATGTTGAATTTCCCCCATTGGTAACATCTAAGTCCACCCAGCTTAAGCCAAACTGAGGATCCAGCATGGTGGCCAAGAAGTAAACATTGTGGTTAAAAGGTTCCTCTCTTCCACTGTCTTTGGCCATGCTTGTTTTTAAAAAGATTCCAGAAAATCTTTTCACCAGAGACTGCTGGAGGGCTCTGACCAATGACTGGCACTGCATTCGAGTGTCCTCCATCTTGAGGAGGTGTGTATTCAAGTCCAGGACAGTTGGAACCACCATACTAATGGTAACTGATTTCTCCCCTTCTGTCAGGTCTGTTACCTCAGAAAATGGAGCAAGAACTGCACTCAGTTCCTTCAGCTGGTTCCACTCACGGGCACTAAACACCAACTCCTCGTGATCCTTGCTGCACATTTCATTCAGGGCTTTGTGGTCCAGAGCTGTGAAGGCCTGTACTTGTTTAAATATACTGTTCCATCGAGTTGTGTTTGCAGCTGGAATGGTCCTATTAGTGCCAAACGTAGCCTCAAACTTGTCTTTGAATTGTGAACTGCTATGCAATAAGGTGGTGAACCGTGATGTTTTGGCTATTGTGTGAGAAATGGCCTTGACCTCCTTCATGCCGTCATTCACAACTAATTGCAGAGAGTGTGCAAAGCAGGAAAGACGTGCACCAGATGACCAGGGTAATTCGGTGTCTTCCTGAGAATTAATGTCCTCCCACAGGTGCTCGTCATCTAAATGCTCCTCTTCACTCTCGCTGTCATCAGATTGGGGCATGTGTACTTTGAAAGCACATTTCATATTGGCAGCATTGTCTGTTATGATATAGCTAATTTTGTCATGGATACCGTATTCCTCTGTGATCTCCTCAAAGGCAGACGCAATGTGCTCTCCAGTATGTCTGCCTGTGAAACGCCTACAGTCCAGCAGGTAGGATTCAAGTGCATAGGAATCCTTTGATTTGTAGCACACGTGGGCGGTCACCCCAAGGAAGGAGCGTAGCCTGCGATCAGACCAGAGGTCAGTTGTTAATGACACAGATGACTGGGTCTTCAGTTTCTCCAAAACAGTTTCCTTGACCTTGATTACCAACTCTGGAATTTGTCTATCAGAAACCGTTTTTCTAGAGATTGGTGTGTATTTACTATCCATAACTTCAAGAAAGTGTTTAAAATGACTGTTTTCCACAAGTGAGAGAGGCAGACAACACCCAATGATCAAATCTTGGACAATGGCTTGACTGATGGCTTGTTGCCTTGGTGATTGTGGGCTGTAGAGCTGCACTTTCTGCGTAAATAATGAAATTGATGGCTGTGTGACTGTGACATCATTCTGTTGCCCTGCCTTGTATTCCAGGAACCTAAAAAATGCAAAGGAGGAATCAGTATATCTGGTCATGAACATCAATTACATCAAAAGAACACTTAAAAATAAGTAGCAACTTCATAAATGTATGTCAAATATATCCTCCATTGTTTATCATAAGCAAAAATTAAACTTAGAAAAATCTAACAAAGTTAAATTGGGTCCTCTGGATGGGTTTAAACAATAAAAAATTATACAAATGTTTTGTCTTTCATCCAAAAGACTTCTTCAATATGAGGAGCTATATTAAACTCAAGAGCTACATTTTCAGGCCAAGACTCTGCGGTTTACACTCATCTCCAGGCCAGCGGTCACTCTTTCAGGGATGAAGATGTTCACATCCTTGATAGAGAGGAACAATGGTTTGAGAGAGGAGTAAAGGAGGCCATCTTTGTGAAAAGAAACCATCCATCTTTAAACAGAGGTGGAGGCCTCCGGGTTCAACTGTCCCCCTCTTACAATGCTGTGATTGCTAGTATCACTCAGCCCCCGGTGAAGGCAAGCAGCCATCAGGGTACTAACAATCCATCATTAGGCTGATGGTCCTTCTTGAACATGTGAGCAGCTAGTTTCATCAACAACAAACGGTTGGTCCACTGTGAGGAGGCACTATTTATAGGGCTGAGCTGAATGCAGCTCCTCAGCCTGAGGAAGTCTTTCGGACGAAAGACGAAATGTTTCTACCTTTTATTTTTACTTTTTTAACACACCCAGAGGACCTGATTTAACTTTTTAAGATTTTTCTACCTGGGTGATTGAGCATGCATCAGGACATATTAAACACAGTTAGCATCTTCTCACAGTGGATCAACCAGTTTGCCAAATATGCTAAGGGAGACCATCAGCCTAACAATGAATCGTTGGCACCCTGATGGTTGCTTGCTATTCACAGGGGGCTGAGTGATACTAGCAATATCAGCGATGTAAGAAGAAGACAGTCCCTCTTACAATGAAGTCTTTTGTTAAGAAGTCAAGTAGT